AGATGGTGAGGGGGGGGGTGGGGGGGTGGAGAAGAAGAAGAAAGGTAACGTCCACTGAATAGGTAACATTTAGGACAATTTTTTCAGACAGGAACAAAGATGTGGGTTGAAAAAAGAAATCCTGCACAGAAAAGCATAGAAAGAAGGGAGATGGCACTTTCCATTCCATAAAGTAACAGTCATTCAACTATTTTAAAACAGACAAGCAAAGCCAACAAGAAGGGCTTATTCCCTTTTAAAAATATAATTAGACAGTAGAATTCGCTGACAGAAAACTTCTAGGGGAAAAAATTATAAAAATTTTAAAAAAGACTGAATATTTATATTGTTATCACGTTACCATTTTGGCCTGAATATGAAATCTCATGCTTCAGGTCCTTCTGGTCTCTTTCCTAATGCTGGGGTAAAATAATTTACTGATAGCACGCTCCTTAAAATTTCCTCTAAAACTTCTGATATTGGCCATTGCCATGATCCAAGGCATTGTATGGGAGCTTGTGAATACTCTTCCACTGGAGCTTTGCTTTTTTCCTACAGTGAAAACTTCAACTAAAGTCCAACTGCAAATGAGTCAAAAGTGTATATAAAAACTTAGAAAAGGGATACCTCTGAGGAAAAATAAAAAAGAACACACACACACACACTCCCAAGCTTTTAATAAATTCAGCTTCAGATTTTCCTGATACTACCTCCAGCTTGTGATTTTGGATTGAAGAGAGAACAGAAATCTTGAAGCTGCAAAGATCACTGGGCTCTATTAAAGAAACCTGTGCTTTTCCTTGTGCTACTGGTCCCTGAAGAGGAATTTAGATAGTGTGGGCTTGTTTTTTCTACCATCTTTCAAAAGTATGTGCACTCTTTTGCTACTGAAATACCCACTAGGTCTGTTGTAGTAACAGTAATTTACTGTTACATGTCCAAACACAGCTTGTAACATAATTCATGTTACAATTTATCATTACACTGCCTAATTGTTTGGAAACACTGAAAAAAACTATCAACAGTATTGACCTTAAACAAGCGATTTCTTTGGTTTTGGGGTTTTTTTTGATACATACTAGTATCTACGCTGGACTCCAGGGTAAGAATTCGTTGTCGTGTCTCCATGTTAAAAATGCTAGTGTGTCCACTGTTAAATGATGCTACCATGAGGCTTGGGTCACTGCTCACAAGATCTACTGATGAAGGGATTCCCATTTCTAGAAAACAATGTAGAGAACATTTTCATAAGCTTTAGTTAGTGTAAAGAAAACAAAACACCCACCAAAAATCCCAACCAGTAAGCACTTTAGTATCAAAAGGGTCATGATTATGAAAAGAAATGTTACATTTTAAAATCTACATTATACTAACCTAAATAGATTGCCCTGCATGATCACTATTTTAATCATGTTTTTCTGATATGCGTATCAACAACGTTCTTTACTGAGATGCTGTATCCGGAACTGCAGCTGAACAGAAATCTACTTTAAGAAAGTAAGAACTCCCTGGACCCTTTTTCTTCCTTTAACTGTAAGAGCAATTCTCAACCCAACCTCCACTGCATCAAGTAAAAGGACGTGAAACTGAAGTGGTAAAATCATTTACATGACAGATAATTAACGTTATTATTAACCTGGGCAAATTCAGAGCTTAAGAAACCCCCAAAGCTTTCCAGGTGCAAATTTATATGCTGACACTGTCAGCACGGAAAGTTACATAAATACATTATAAAGTCGTATTACAAAGCTTCTTCCAACCTGCCTATTACAGTATACATCCAATCTCCTGTAGCTATCTGAACACTGCAGGACGGACAGCCAAATCAGCAGGGCTTGGGTACAGGAAATATCCCTTAGAATTTTTCTCCTCGAATGTCCTGTTCACCACCTGCTATGTGAAAGAACAACCCTGGTTGCAACAGATGCCAGGAGGAGGAGGAAGAGGTACAGAGTCAGACACTGAATGTTAAGCAACCAAATGTCCATGGATCCAAATAACGCAGGAATATCATCACCTCTCTCCAAACCTAAGACTCATGGGAGAAACATCTTTCTTGGACACATGACCTCAGGAATGTTGCTCAGGAATCGTACTTATCTCCAGATACTCAAAAAAAGCCAAAAAGGATTGATGTCAGAAGAAAACACGTATTGTTTCGGAAGTGACCTTTTCTATCACTGCCATGCCCACTTCTCTGCAGCTTCCTGGTAAGTCTACAATGGTTAATCTAAAGGACTTAAATGATGACTGCTAGATATTTTAGAAAGTTTGTTCAAGGTTCTCAATAAGCCATAGGAAAACTCAGTTCCAAAGGAGGATCTTTGAATTTCACAACTGGGTTTCATTCCAGTTTCAAACATAAAAACCCCAAAGATTAGCTCTGTGAGGCAAGACTATTCCTCCTTCCCCCTTCTTAATTTAATAATTAGGAACAGAACCAAAACACAAAAACCAACCAAACAAAAAAAAAATCAAACAAAAAACCCGCTACTAGGAAGTTTTCAAAGTAGACAGGTAGATGAGCTGGCAGCAAACCAGTATGTTTTTCACAGAACCCTGCAGACCTTTGGAAACATAGTTGTACCAGAACTACGTGAAACATTTCTATTTTGCTAAGCCTATTTTAACTAGCAAGTAATGGCAGATCTGACCAGCTTTACACCATAATTCAGTACATCTGTTCAGTGGTGTTCCTCAGGGGTCAGTATTTGGACTGGCGCTGTTTACACCTTTGTCAGCAACATGGACAGTGGGACTGAGTGCACCCTCATCAAGTTTGCTGATGACACCAGGCTGTGTGGTGTGGTTGACACACTGGAGGGACCTTGACAGGCTTGAGAGGTGGGCCTGTGTGAACCTCAGGAAGTTCAACAAGGCCAAGTGCAAGGTCCTGCACATGGGTCAGGGCAATCCCAAGCACAAATACAGGCTGGGTGGAGAATGGATTGAGAGCAGCCCTGAGGAGAAGGACTTGCGGTGTTGGTTGATGCAAAGCTCAACATGACCCAGCAGCGTGTGCTTGCAGCCCATCCGCATCCTGGGATGCATCAAAAGAAGCGTGACCCAGCAGGTTGAGGGAGGTGATTCTGCCGCTCTGCTCTGCTCTTGTGAGACCCTACCTGGAGTACTGCATCCAGCTCTGGGGCCTTCAACATAAGAAGGACATGGACCTGTTGGATTGAGTCCAGAGGAGAGCCACAAAGATGATCAAGGGCTGGAGCACCTCTCCTATGAAGACAGGCTGAGAGAGTTGGGGTTGTTCAGCCTAGAGAAGAAAGGCTCTGGCGAGACCTTATAGCAGCCTTCACTGGAAGGGGGCCCTACAGGAGAGCTGGAGAGGGACTTTTTACAAGGGCATGTAGTGATAGGACAAGGGGTAATGGCTTTGAACTGAAAGAGGGTAGACTAAGATTAGATACAAGGAAGAAATTCTTCAGTATGAGGGTGATGAGGCACTAGAACAGGTTGCCCAGAGAAGTTGTGGATGCCCCATCCCTGGCAGTGTTCAAGGCCAGGCTGGATGGGGCTTTGAGCAACCTGGTCTAGTGGAAGTTGTCCCTCTGCCCATAGCAGGCTCATTGGAACTAGATAGTCTTTAAGGTCCCTTCCAACCCAAACCATTCTATGGTTCTATGATTATGCTGAAGTTTATTTTGCCTCAAACTTGTTCTGAAGAGCCAAGGAATTTTCTCAGTTCATGGGTTGCCCTTGGGACCATCAGCTGTAAGAAAGTTTGGTAATGGCAACAGGCTCATTCTAGAGCACTTACTCAAACAGCTACTTCAAGAAATTAGGCTCTAAACAATAGGATTTTGATCTGTGCATGACATTTCAGTAACTAAATCCAACGGACTAAATCTTTTCAACTAGCAGTGTTTAGGATGACTACATTATTGCTATTTAGTTAATGTGCAAACTCAGAAATTCAACTGAAATCTCTGTTTTAGAGACACAAGGAATGTAATCTGAGAAAGTATTGATGACACTGGCCTGAGCTGAAGCACTGGCTGCTCCAAACCTCTGTTGGGGGGAAGAAAGGGCTTTTTATTCTGGACAAACGAAAAGCAAGGGCCTAACAGAAACTCAGCTTGAATCTGAACTATGGAGTTGATACATTATACTCCATGGTTCTAGTAACATCAGCAGATCATCTGCAGCAGTTGGCTTTTAGATGTATGTGACTGTCCCTGGTGTGTAGGTATCTATTCAGCTGGTGTCAAAGGACAAGGGACCCAAAATTTACTCTTCCCAAAAACATTCATAAAGATATAAAATCCAGCAAAATAAACAAGAAGGATTTCTATTGAGCAGCCAAAATTATGGCAGTCTGAACAGTGATGCTTATCAACTTTAAGGTAGGGCAATTTTCTGTACCTTGATTATCATTAAATATATTGAGAGCTGGAGCAATTTCTGTAGCTTTCCATAGACGTATAGTACCATCTGCTGAACAGGACAGCAAATGCTGGTGCGCTCCACTGTAAACCAGACCCCACACTGCATCTGTATGGCCTACAAAAGCACCTCTTAGAACAGAAGGATCTGTGAACAAACCACAAACAACCACATTTCAAAACAAAATTTGAATTAAGTCAATAGTTCCATCTTGGTCTGTGTTTATGGACCAACCTTAAGAAGCTAGTCCATAAAAAACCCAAGACCAATCAGGTCACATCAATATAGAAGTCTCAGTTATTCTTGTATGAAGATGCTTGAATTTTATCAGCATACCTGGCATTCAGTGACCCAGTTTACAACTAAGTTGTAACAAACAAAGTTTCAGCAGAAGGGACAGTATCAAAGTTGGCAAAACACACTTTGATTTTAAAATTCACTCTCAAACAGCTGTTAATGGCACATCACTCCTTTTTTTCCAAAAGCCAGCTTTGAGGCCAACCCCACCTGAAGCTATGAGAAGTGAAAAATGCTTTAAAACACAGACACAAGGCTGACATCCATTCAGTTCTGATAAATCTTACCGAACTGGGCCTTTTTAGCTTTTTGGAGACAACATTAATAGCTTTGGTCTCAGACTATACAACCTCTTCTTGTCTCAACTGCACACAGATTTGTTGAAGAAAAGAATATTAAAATACACATTTGCTGTACTTGCCAAGTAGAAGATTTAGTTCTGTACTTTTTCAACCTAGCTGTTTCTCAAAATTTTGATGAAATCAAGGCCTTTTTTAAGAAATTGACAAATGTTATCTTCTCATCAACCAGTGTCAGTATTAAAACAAAAATTTAGAGTAATTGAAGCCAACATTCAATTTTCTCTTTTAAATTTTCAAAGCAGCATTGCCTACAAATTATACTATTTTAGCCATATAACGTTAATGTCACTAAACGTATCATTTCACTGGTGTGTGAGACAGCAACATACCATAAGAGTCATAGGGGTCGATGTTTGGGTTGGTTGTATTCCAGCCATGGATGAGGCCATCTGTTCCCCCACTGTAACACTGTTCACCATTACTGCTCATCACCACACACAGCACTGGTCCACTGGAAGAACCCCCCCAAAGAAATGTTGACTATTAACATTTCCATTATGTGACCAACAATGTCAACAGAATCTTCAAATTTCCCTGTTAGATACAATTCACTTGCTGCACAGACTGAAACAAAAATTCTGCATATCAGACCATATGCTACAACACTTCCCACAAAAAAAAAAAACCCACAATATTTGGTAATGTAACTACAATCAGGACAATTTAATGATTATGCACATGAAGTATGAAAAGTGTCACACTTTTAAACTATAGGCTTTGCCATTTTGCATAAACAGCTTTTTTCCCTTTAAAGATCTAAGGTTCTTTCATGAAACCAATTCAGTAGATTTCAATTCACTGCGAACAGCTTCATTCTACAGATGCACATATCTGACAAAAAGGTAAGAGCTGCAATGATGAACAGAACACTTAGTCACATTTGAACTGTGTAATTTGTAGATTTTTCTTTTTAAAACTGTGGTGTACCTAGTTCCAGGCATAAATAATTTTGCAGAATGGAGATGAACATATGCAGATATTTTAAATAACATGGGAACTAAAAGCATCACATGAAATCACTAGTTGACAAGGTGGAAATTACTTTTCAAAAGAAATTCTGTGTTTGTTTAAAAGTCATACATTTCTCAAAATATGACAATGTTTCTCAGAAAATACTCACTTATGTGCTCTGAAGGTATATATTGGCTCTACATCAAGAGAAGCACTCCTAAATGAAGTATAAAAAAGTGTTAACATCTATATGATGCTTTACAAAAATGTGCCAGAATTGCTAAATTCTTAAAATCACCGCTACGTCTTTTGAAGTGTTTCTCACACAACTTCCTCTCCCAACATGATTTTTCATATGTCTAGGAATTCTTTGCATTCTTTCAAAATATGATGGGTTTTGGTTCATTGGTTTTGGTTTATTTTTTTGTTTAAAGACCTTCAAAGGTAGAGAGTGCACAAACTCTCACACACCAGTCAAACCAGTAGGTAGGTATATCAATGGTGGGGAAGGAGTGGAGGGCCATCAGTATCACATGAAATATATCATTAAGTGTTCCCAATCCCTATCAGGGGAAAGGAGCTTATGACACCTTGTTTTTATACCAATGCTGTAGCACAGTTACAAACCACTTCAAAAGCTGCTGCTCTGGACTTTACCGATCAGGTGCTTGATACAGACTGCAGGAAGACCACATGCTTTCCCCAGTCCTCCTAAAAGGTGTGATGTACTCCCTTACCATATTAGCCCCACTAAGAATTTTGCTCTCATTTCTGCAAATCCCCAGCAACACGCAAGAGACAAGTGTACAAAGGAACCTAGCAACATCTCTGTCAAAGTTTAAAGCTGTACACATGTATATGCATATATATGTATATATATATACGCATATATATAAAAATGCATTTTTATACATTTATATACACATGCAAGCACACTAACAGGCCACATCCAAATATTTTCACTAGTAAATTAATTTGGCATGTTATCTACAAGGAAAATATAAAAAAGTGAATGGTTTTCATTTTCACAAACAAAACACATTCACGAACATGCATGGATTTCTTCTTGCACTCTTTAAAAGTCTCCATCCTTCTCTAAAAGCTTGTTTTCCTACTCTTAAATTCAAGGAAAAATTTCTATTAACTCCAAGGGCCATCCAGTGAAGCAGCATCTACATTTTTTGTTTCCCTTCATAAATGAAAATGTTTTTTGAAACAAAGCAAAAAAAAAATCTTACTTTTTTGCTGGGGCTGTTTTTTGTAAATTCCACATTTTTAATGTATGGTCCTCTGAAGCTGTTATTAAGACTGGTTCAACCGGATGAAAAGCGAGACCTCTTATTCCATCAAAGTGACTTCTTAATGTGAATTTGGGGTTCCAAGTCTTTCTCAATGCATCCTTATTGTTTGCTATCTAATAAAAAAAAATGCCAAACTTGTAATTAATCTGGAAGGCACAAGGAAAGGAAGAAATGAGAAATTTAGTTTGGCATTTTCAGAAGATGTCTAATTACCTCACCCAGTTTTCGTAACAACCTGCTCTTGAGCAACAGTCCATTTAACACTGATCAGACAATTCAAAATGAGAACGAAGGTAGATGTATTCCACAAAGGCAACAAGTAGTGTCGCATCCACAATAATATATTCTGTGCAAATCTGAAATACTTCACGTCTGTTAAGCTACGCAATTTAAAAGCTGAAAAGAACCTTTCTGACTGATACTGCTGTGAACTCAGTTTGGTATTTGAAAGTTGATCTGTACCTACTGGCTCATTCATTAACACCGGGCCTGACAGAGAAGTGTCTAACAGCACAGAAGGGAACACCATCTAACTTACTCACCTAAGGCAACACAAGCTCTGTGATAATGCAAGACAAGTAAAGCTTGCCAGGAAAAAAAAGAAAAAAAAAGGGGGGGGGTGAGTGGCAAAAAGGACTCGGCTACACACTAAGAATGCAAATGACAAGCAATAAGCTGTTGTATATACAGGCACAATTATTTGGCAATAAATGCACTTTTAGCAGATCCAAAAAGAAAGCACCTTAAAAAAAGTTACTTCAACATTGCTCCTCTGAACAAATGTTGACGTAAAATGCTGAACAGACTTTTATCACTTTGTCAGTCAACGCTGCCATAGTTATATTTACCTTCCTATAACCACTGCTGATGGTGGTTATGGAAAACCAGTAAAACAAACAATTGTAACTCAAATATTGATGATTTCATTATGTTGAAAGCTGCAGATAAACCCAAATAATTTAGTCTCATTAACTGCAAAGAAGAGACAGCTGTTTTGAGCTACTTCAAGAATCTGTATTTTATTCTTGAAGAATCAGGGGGTGGGGAGGGGAGGTTTAAGAACAAAAGTGCTTTTTCTTACATTTTGTTACTTCTGGATTTAGTAATTAACATTATGCTTCAATTAAGAGGTTCTACAGATTTTAAACAAATGAGAAAGGAGTCGTAACATACAGCAGGTTTAGCCTCACCATGTTTCTTAGTAATTATGTACTGTCTGCTCAGTTTCTTTGCCAGTTTACTGAGCTGAGTTGGCTCCATGAGGGAACTGACAAAGGCTGGAGCTGGTGCAAGGATGGGGCAGGACTGCAAAGTTAACAGCTCTGGCAGATTTTTCTGGAGATTGGCCAAGAAAGCCTCAGCAAAAAGGGTACAAGACATACAGAGTATTCACAGATAGCTGGAGAGGAATTTGGTTGCTCAACACAGGCATCTAATGCTGATTAGGTGACAGAGGGAACCTTGCCTGCCCTCCAGCTGCCATACCACCAGCACAGGTCCTGTGTCACATGTGCGAAAGCCGCACAGACACCTCAGATGGCCTAACAGTGCACGCCAGTTCTGGCAGCGTAATATTCTCCATTTACTTCTCATTCATTCAAAGATGTTCTTCCAAAGGAGTCCAAGATGATTAGCTTATAAATTGGGAAGTAGGTAGAGGGCAGACCCAGCCAGCAGACCAGCAGCAGAGGTGGAACCACATCCTAGCCCTGACACACCACCATCATTCCCCTTCACCCACCAGTTTCTCACAAGCGGCAAGCAGTGGGTCACTAACACAGCAGCCAGCCTCCTTTTCTCTCTCCCCTCTAAAATACAACAGTGAGGTAGCAGTTGCGGGGGGGCAGGGAGGGATGTTCAACCCCAAAATTAGCACTTGATCTGGATTTGCCAATAATAGCAGCATCTGTGTCTATACAGACAACTTGAAAACTCCAGAAACAGCAATGATAATGCAAGTAGGATTACAGACACTTCTCTTGTTCAAAGTTGTAGGAAATCAAGCAAGAGCCTACTGCAAAGTCCAAAACCTCCAAGTCCGTACACAATATTAAATGTAATGATTTTGCAGTTCAGGTACTCTTATGTACAGTAGTCAGAATATTATAATTTTATGAAGCTTCTTAATCTACCCAGATGAGAGGAAAAAAAACCAGAGCCAAAGTGAACATTTGTTAAAACAGCAATGTGTAAAGGAAGCATAAAGAAAAGATAAACACTTAAGAGAGTATTGGTGAGCAATCTGGGAAATTTCATCTTGTTAAATATTCTACAAACTTACCCACAAAAGGAAAATTTTCTTTTTTAAGTAATAAATTCATAATCTCCATTAACAAGTGAAAAACATTCTTTAATTTACAGACAGCCAAAGCAACATGTGAAAGACTTAAACCATGAAATGAGGTAGGTTAATGCTGCCATGTAGTAGAAGAAAAGAATCCAGTAAATGGGTCAGAGGGAAGAAAGCGACTGAAAATAGGAAAGTGTCTGCAACTCAAGAGCAAATACATTTAAAGACAGATTCACGTGAAATCTTTCAGCTTCATTCTCCACATGATTCAAAAGTGACTTTAAAAAAAAAAAAAAACCAACATATTAAGTTCCCACTAATCCTACTTGATTGACATTTGGCAGCTAGAAGAAGGTATGAAGTAGTCCAAAATAAAACCAGATTATATTATTTGTAAGCTAAACTTCCAGTGAAATTTGAAATGGAAAAACTAGCCTTTCATTTTGCTTCAATAAAGAGCACAGTGACAAAAGCAAAGAGCTTTGTAAACAATTTTTTTTTTTTTTTAAATTGTCAGCACTAGAAATGGTAAGAGGTGAGGTAAGCATGACTATGAATTCCTGGTCACAGGACTTCATAAAGACATTTAACAAATGAACACACAGAAGCTAATATTCTCAATCACACAGAAAAGGATAGGGGTGGATAAAGAAATGCTAGATTCCATAAATGAAAGCTGTTAGTTCAGGATATGGAGACATGGACAAACACTACAGTTTATATGGACACTTGAACAATGAAGTGAAGTAGTGAAAGCATTAAGCTCTTGTACAGATGGTTTAGGTTTGCCATGTCCTCTGAATTTAAAAATTCAGCATCAAAGTTTTAGGTGTAATGGTAAAAGAAATGAAATTTATACAACATCTTATCCCTTTCTGGAGACAAAGTTAAGAAAAAATTAAGAGCTCAGCCCACATTAGGAGATAATGCTAAAATACCGAATTTTAGCAGATATGTTCTACATCATTGCAATCCTGATGATCCACAACACATCACATGCTCAGAAACTTGCTATAGCAGTAGCACACATCTCTGCAGTGTCACTCTCAAAATGTGTGTAAACTTTTATTAACTCTGTAATTTATTGCTTTACAAGTACATACAAGGGTAGAACTTCAAATTAAGGACCTGCAGGTTATTTCTGAAGTCTCAGATTTGATTTGCGATAGTAAAATCCCAGATGGCGATTACTTAAGAGTCAGATTTACTGAAGGGTATGATTCCTCCCCAACATGCAATCTCTGAAATCCCTCAACCTGGACAATGCAATAGCAAGATTAGCCTAAAGTTGACAGATCACAAAGGAGCAGATGATTAAAGTAATACCTTAAGTATCTTTTTCCAAGAAATCAGAAATACAGACAAAAATTGCATATGACTGCAAAGAAGTAATTTTCAGCAAGTTTTTTTTTTATGAAAAGTGAAAGAAAAAGAAGCCATAAGCTACAGCAGTGCTGGCCACAAAAGCCTCCTAAAAAGTCTCTGGTCCAGCTTCCCATTTGAAATGGGACTATTGCCCACACCAGGTGAAGTAAGCCACAGCTCTCCCCCAGCCAAGTCTTGAACATCTCCCAGGAGAGGGAATCCACAGTTTCTCTGGGTAGCTTGCTTCAGTACCACCTCCTACGTAACACTTTTTCCCCTAATGTCCAACCTGAACCTCCCAAGCCACAATTTGCTACTGTTTCCTCTTGTTTTAGCACCTGGCACTATGGAGAAGCTTTGCTCTGTCATCCTTGTAAGCATCCTTCCAACACCTGTAGGCTGCTATTTTAGCACCCCTTAGCCTCCTAACAAGTGAATAACACTAGTTCCCTCAACATCTCCTCATCAGTCACATGCTACTGGACTCTTCAATTTCTCCACAACCCTCTTGAGGTGGAGGGCCCCAAAACTGCATACAAGTATGGCCTCACCAGACCCAGGTAGAGGGGACATTAACTTCCCCCAATCTGCTAACCATGCTACTACTAATTTTGCTCAGCATCACCAGGGTTACAAGTATGCAGCTGTATCACTATCACTAATTACATTTACTTTCAACTATTTGAATGACACAGCAGGCAAATGAGAGGAGGAGAGGGGCTTGCAGAGAGCTTCAAGGCTGCTGTGTATGGGAAGAACAGATATGTCAAGTAAAGATTTGTGACATACTTTGGCAGCATAATTTTAACAGGAAAATGTTTTCTGCTGAGTCTACACACACATAACTTGCATCTGCCTTTAGCAAGTAGACAGTAGGACCTTGAGTTACCACTAATAACCACTTACATCATAAGTCAGTGAATCTGCCTCATTGGCTACTGTAAGGCCTGCCAGTTCTCCAAGACCCAGCTCATTTTCAAGTGCTTCATCTGTTCCCATAATGAAAGATTTCCCTGAAGAAGGAGGGAATGTTAAAGCTTCCACTGCAAGAAAACAAACAAACAAACAAAAAATCCTGAAACATAGCTTTATATAGCATTGATAAAAGCATATTTTCCACTTCCAAAATACTAAACATCTCTCAAGTAGCTGAGGGCAAAAAGATACAAAAGGATGCATTAAAACAATAGCCATTCTAAAGATAATCACCATACTTAACAATAAACAGTATTCTCTGAACATAATACTTACATTTGAGGTGTACATGACTCGAGACAGTAAGTGTAATTAGCCACAGAAGGGAAGAGTACACTTCCATTCACCCATACATAATGCAGAAGTAACACAGAAAAGCTCAGGCCCTTCCCCAGCTCCACTATAAAATATGCAAATAGGCTCTGGAGAAGTAGCAAAAACACAGACAAGAATAGCTGGTGGGAGCAGCTGGACCCTTCCTTCCTAACGCTGTAACACATCCAAAAGCATGTCTACAATGAAGCTATTTACATGCCCTCCAATCTAGCAATATGACTGGAAGCTGAGAATTCATCACTACTTGTAAAATCAGTTTAATTACCAAACAGGTTAATCAGCACCGAATTCCAGGTTTTTACTAGCAGTATCCAAACTCACTAGTTTACAGCTGCTATAGCATGCCTATAGGAGCTCGTCACTGCAACATAAATACATCCATAGGCAGATTTACTAGCAATGGGAGGATCAAAGGCTAAGAGGAATACAGTTCACACACTTAAACCACATAAGACTCTGCATCAAGTAGTATGACTCAAAAGAAGCTGTGCCTTTACCAACTTCCCTGTACAATAGCTCTCCAAGTCTACGCATCACAAAAGGGGGACTGAATAGATGAAAATGTGTTATCTTCTGGACACAAGAGACTTCACTCAATTTTATACACTTCTTGTTTCAAATTACAAGGGCTTCTCATTAAATTACATTTTTTCCCCTTTTAGCTCCATTGTAAATACAAGCCTTGGCAAATACTGTTGCTACCAGGGAGAGAGAAGAAGAAACACCACCTCATTCTCAGCATCTCATTTAGTCTAACAGCACCAACACTAAGTTAAAACCAAGCAAACTGTGGTTTACCAGGAATAGCCTGATCTGTTCAGGCTGCTTCTCTCTTGTCCCGAATGCATCATGTTCAGATGCTATTCAATTCCCCTCCAGTCCACCCAGCATAAAGTAAGCTAATCTTTCTGTGGTCTTTCTGTTCCACACTCATACCTCTACTGAGTGTCCTGTTTGCTTTCTATTACTTCTTGCAACCAAATAAGCACCTTTCAAGCTCTGCCATTTGATTAGGTCTCTTAGTTACTACCTTTTAAAACATCTCTCACCTTCTTCACCCTGAAGTCTAAACTACCATTCTTTTTCACTCTTTTGAACTTATGATGTAATACTCCACTCAACATGCAATACAAACAGGACATCAAATTTGAAAAGTTAATAGAAGAAAAGAATTGTATGTCAAAAATATCACAGAGTCTCAGATTTATAATGGAATAGACAGCTAGTAGTTTGTAATACTGAACTCAGACTGATAACAATCAGCTGTCCTCTTCTGTTTTTGTGAGAGTCCATCCGAGTCTCTGAATTAAAAAGCACATTCTTGAAAGGACATGAAAATAGAGCTCTGCTAATATGGCGCTCAGCACATGTGAGAAAAGTTGGAAAGGAAACATTCAACGAAAAACGCCTCCACTTCTCAAAGTGTTGCTAAGTTACCCCCTTCTTCATACAGAAAATCACTGAGCAAGTAGGAAATAGAACTACTGAGATCTTTGGTTACTATGCCACACGCCAGGGCTTTTTATGCATCTTAATTATAACTTGGCCGACCTACTTTTTCACACTCACTGAAAGACTGTGAAGTGAAACCCGTGTTTTGCTCATTTTTCAAAAGACATTTACCATTTAAATAAAAAGCACATGATAAGATCGTCTACAAATTAATATAGCCTCATAATTTATTTTATTATACTGCATATTATAGCAATTCAAATGTTGAATCAAACAGATGATTTAGCAACTTTCAGACATAATATTAATGAAGGTAACCACATGCTTCATTGCAAAGATGTGTGGCTTTCCATACTTGGACTAGCCGCTATGAGAACATTATGGAAATTAATACACTGGCAAGCGGTAAGTTGTTCTGTATGATTCACTACATAATCACCACATGCATTTAAAACCTACACCTAACCACCTGTGTTTACCTGCAGAGACTCTATCTTCACATTTAAAAAAAGAACATGTGTGTGTGTGTGTGTGTGTGTATACACACACACACACATTAAAAATTATGTTCATGGGGAGAAAAACAGATGCTCTTATGTCCTGAGAGTTTATGTTCCACACTTGACTACCAGGCCTGAGCACAAACAAAAGCAAGTGACTTAAGATCCTCATATTACAAAGCCACCAAGTGCCAAATGAGTTTTTTCCATCATGTTCAAAGGTATTCAGCCAAGACTTTACCTAGGTAGGTGTCTTGACTTTACTAATTGTGACCAGAGGGGAGGAACGGGAATGCCATTTATCGCACTTAGACAGAACTCATAATGTTGAATCAGTATTTGTAAAGTGCTTGGAAAGTCTCAGAGAATAATCTTTAAGCAGAAGTAACTATAAACATCTACCTTTTACAAAGACGTAGGCACATTTGTAATACTTACCTTCATCTGTCCTGTTTATCTCATGTTCAATGAGCCTTGAGCTACTGGGCCTAGAAGAAGGTGCAACAGATGGCTGTAATGAAGGGAGATCATCAACATCTCTCAAGTTTGCAAGCATATCTTGCAGCTTTGACCTGTTGGGCCCTAACCAGAAAAAACAAAAAATTAAATGGTTTATGCATAGTTCATGACAGCACTACTTATACCAGATATGCTACAGCAGCACATGCAACAATGGGTCCTACCTTGCATTATAACGTTACCACAGAAAAACTAATGAGCACCTATTTTCAGCAGTAACTAATCATCCAGCATGAAATGAATTTCTTGAAAAGAAAGTGATAGAAGCAACTGAGAATTGTGAATGCACAATTGTCCCCACGTTTATAAACTCATACTGCTACTTGCATGGGATGCTGAAGAATGCCTCCAACTGAGTCACAGTGATTATTAGAATATTTACATTTCAAAAAAATAGCTGATGTTTGTGAATATTTTAAAATTTGTGCATCAGATACTTTGTGCAGCATATTCTCATGACAACATGATTAAATTTATTTGTGCAGTAGTGTAGTATCGTGAACTATATAATCAAAAAAGTTATACTTTATTAAAATGTAAATGCAACTGGATTCACTGGCCTACTTCCTGAAGCTACATATGGTGAAGACCCATGCCCTTCTTGACACTTACCTGTGCTTTGCTCCATCATTTTCCCACATCCCTGTTTTGACTGTTTTATATAGGATTGAGGCTGAAACATATCTTCGGTAGTTTTTCCTGTTGTAAGTTTAATTAAGAATGGGAAAATGTCTTACCCATAGTCCATTATGTTTTTTCCTAGACCAGTAAATAATACAGCTATTTTTAAGCAGCTTTAACACAGAAGTGTACTCTAATATATGTATTCTCTCATAAAACCATTCTATGATTCTTTTCTCTTATTACTTCACAGGAGTGTTTACTACAGCCTTGCAAAATCTTAAGTTTACAAATGCAGTTGCAAACTCTACTTTGTCCACCCTAACCATAATGACAGATAATAAACTAAATTGTATTAAGCTTGTCTGTCACAAAAATATTACTTGATTCAGGAAAACAGTAAGTAGGATTTTGCAAGATTGTTTTACTATAATATCCGATTTATAAAAACAGTATTTTACTTAGTAGCAGTTCAGTGTCTAAGCACCATTTATGATGAGATTAACGTCATAGAAACAAACTTTGCACAATTTAATGTCAAGATATTTAGCCACTTTTTCCTCGGACTTCCTTCCTCACATTCTTCTTCACTACGTGCAATATCATGAATAGCTGAAAACAGGCTGTGATTCTTCTTGATTTTTCTGTACTGATGCCCTTCCAATGATGGTTTGTCCATGGAAAGATGCTTAATTTCTGTACTGCAGTAAACCATTTGGTCTCCCAAGATCAAACCAATCAAATCAGTCCAAAAGGTACTGTAAATGTACTGAGTAGTAGTTATGGACATGAAGGAGCACTGGATGTCCAAGTGCTGCCTTAAATCAGTAATTTCTCTCATAAATATGTAAAACATGTTCAAATAATATCTATGTCTATATTAACAATTAAATATTAAGATTCATTATAAAAGTACTCAACAGCTGCTCAAGAATATAATTTCAGCAGTTTGAATAAATAATTTCTGCTAAGTTAACCCTACAACTATTTACCCTGAACTACATAGTATGTCTGTGTATTTCAAAAATAACAGACAAGTTACAAAAATCAATTTCACCGAAGTCACATATTGGTATGCCCTATTTTAACTATAGGGAAATTTAGAATCAATTTTGTGAAACACGAACGCTTTAGTCGGCCAGCTCAGCTTCTTGTCTGACTTGCAATTAATTTCCAGTAACTTAAATGATTCCAAAGATGACAAAAAAAAAAAAATCACTTGAGAAATTTAAAGTATGGTAATGATTTACTCTTTTTCTTAAAAAAAAGAAAAAAAGGAGGTTTAGTTTGTGTATTTGATAGCATAATTTCAGCAACATAACCAACTGCTGAGCAGCAGCTTATCACAGCATCAATAAAAAAAGTAACAAAACAAGTCAGCCTCAATGATGCGAGGATCTGACACCTTTTGTATCATTATGCATGTCTTTTTGGAAGTGTGAATTTCCTTGGTATTCATAAGCATCTTCCCACAAAGGGAGAAACATCCCTCAAATTTCTTACTGGGCTACATGCAATATTATTAATTTACATCATTCACACATCAATTCTCAATATGGCCAGATGTTTGAAATATAGCTGTGAATACAGTGTTTCACTTCAAACATTTACATATGAGTCCAAAAAGCTTTAAGGCTTACTTATCAAAAACCACTAATTTAACAAAACAGATTTGTATTTTAAGAAAGGTAACAAAAATATAATACAGGGCTAGAAACTGTATTTCAGGTACTGATCACAGTTTTTTGTTTGGGTAAGAATACTCAACATTTTTAAAGACTAGTCCCACAGGTATGAAAGTCAATAAATAAGTCCTGTGATTTACAAATAAACTGATGGTCAGAGTTGCTTCCTATTTCGAGCCCTGCATAACAAATTATGATGACAGCACGACTTTCATGTTGTGAATGTTAAGTACAAACAGGGGTAGAAATTAACCTGTTTTCTCCCTCTGACATCTAATAGGATACTCAAGACAGTTTCTGGTTTGTTTTATTTACATACCAGACTTTAACTCTTCCTGTGACACTGGCATGTTTCCAGCTAAGAAAGGGTGCTGAAGTCCTCTATATTAAAGTGTGAACTATTAAACCAATGCCTTTTACAATTTAAGTTTCTGAATAACAAAAGTATAATCCATGCTCAAAGCAAGAATTTTTAATTAATCCAATACCTGGTTGGAAGAAGTTATATCTAATCCAACTATTTATCAGGAAACTTGATTGACATTAATTTCAACCCCTGAGAACTGGTGAACAGGAAAGCAGTCAGGAGCAGCAAAGTAAAAGAGTAAGTAACTTTAGGAAAACATTGAAAGAGAGATAGAATTAAGGGTGTGAAAGATGTGGGATTTATGATTTTAAGGTGCAATGTTTTCCACTTACTCTTAACCCCCTTTTTCCCCTTGCGCTCCTTTTTGTATTGTTCCTTGAGTTTGGTTATTACTCCCTGGTCGACATTCCAAGCTTCAGGCATGAGACACTGGTCTTCCTTTTCTAAACAAAGTGAAACAAATGAAACATCCTTTTTCAATAATGTCACCAAGTGATCTCCACTGAAGGAGGTAACAGCTGCTGTCAATGGCATTTGTCTTTTATTTTAAACAGACAGAAATAGCACCAAGCTTGTGAAAGCTGTAAAACTGCTACTCACATTCCACTTCTATTTGCTCAGAATTTTCTTAACACAAAAACTGAGATGAAATTTCACATGCCTAATTTCTATAACCAAGCACATAGCTGTTCATAAATGTAAGCAACATTTACTTTATGATAAATCAGGACATATTTTTCAGCTTTTTCTTTCCTCCAGGGAAAGAATTATTCTATCTAGAAGCAGCAGCTATGTTACTGGTCAACATAACTTTACAACTCAGATGTTGCATAACTGCATTTCAAATTCTCATTTCATTGTCTTTGTGCTATGCTATCATTTACACAAAGCAGCAGCACGTTTAAATAATTTTGGAACATAGTATACATATCACCAAGGTTTAAATAAAATCTTAAAGCACTAAAGCCATGAAATTTCACAAAAAGGGGAAGGCCTGAGCTATTAGTCTTTGAAAAAAACCACATAAAACATTTCAACATGCCTAGTGAGAAAAAAAAAAAAAAAACAAACCCCAAACCACAAACACCTCTTTCAAATTGCTTCTCCTGTGACATGATACAGAGAAGAAGTATTCCAAGTGCCGGGTCACAACCACCCCATGCAATGCTACAGGCTTGGGGAGGAGTGGCTGGAAAGCTGCCTGGCTGAAAAGGACCTGGGGGTGCTGGTTGACAGCCGGCTGAACATGAGCCAGCAGTGTGCCCAGGTGGCCAAGAAGGCCAACAGCATCCTGGCTTGTATCAGGAATAGTGTGGCCAGCAGGAGCAGGGAGGTGATTGTCCCCCTGTACTCAGCTCTGGTGAGGCTGCACCTTAAATATGGTGTCCAGTTTTGGGCCCCTCAATACAAGAAGGACACTGAGGTGCTGGAGCATGTCCAGAGAAGGGCAACGAAGCTGGTGAAGGGTCTGGAGCACAGGCCTTATGATGAGCGGCTGAGGGAATTGGGGTTGTTTAGTCTGGAGAAGAGGAGGCTGAGGGGAGACCTTATCGCTCTCTACAACTACCTGAAGGGAGGCTGTAATGAGGTGGGTGTTGGTCTCTTCTCCCAAGTAACAAGTGATAGGACGAGAGGAAATGGGCTCAAGCTGCATCAGGTGAGGTTTAGATTGGATATGAGGAGAAATTTCTTCACGGAAAGGGTAGTCAAGCATTGGAACAGGCTGCCCAGAGAGGTGGTGGAGTCACCATCCCTGGAAGTGTTCAAAAAATGGGTAGACGTGGTACTCTGGGACATGGCTTAGTGGGCATGGTGGTGTTGGGTTGATGGTTGGACTGATGATCTTATAGGCTCTTTCCAACCTTAATGATTCCTAGTTTTATTCATTAAAAAATAATCCAGCCACCAAGCCAGGAAACATGAAATTAATTATTACTCTACCCTGAACTGGTTTAGTGGTGGACTTGGTAGTGTTAGGTTAATGGTTGGACAGGATGATCTTAAAGGTCTTTTCCAACCTAAACGATTCTATGATTCTATTCCAATAGTACGATATTTGGGGATTTTGAACAAAACATGTTATGTGAGTTTAAATCTCCAAGTCATTTTTTCCATATATGGAAAGACTGTACTTAGGCAGCTTAGAAAAATAACTTGCGAGAGGAGGGAGGTAATATAGCTTTTCCTCATATATATTTATTTTCATGACCATTACAGCCACGAAATTAATTTTTTGAAATGCATTATCTTTTTGCTTTGTTTTCCTCATTAAAATCTCAACCTTATTATTTAGAAATTAATTCCTTTCAGACCAAGTTTGCTTTGTACATCAATAAACTATTCTAGACCTTTTAAAATACAAACAAGAATGAACTTATCCTCAGACTAATACACAGAAAGGGTATTACATGTCTGTAGAGGAAGCACAACACTATCAGTCACAATCTGAAGGAGACACTATGATGGGACAAAAGATACAAAAACAGACATGGGTTATTATGGGAACTGACTTGTTAGAAATTAACTATGCTGAAAAAGACCTAGGGATCCTCCATCGACATCAAATTGACCAGGAGTCAGCAGCAAACTCTTGCAGCAAAAGCGACCAACCATATCCTGGGCTATATTAACAAGAACATAGCCAGTAGGGTGAGGGAAGTGATTGTTCCCCTCTGTTTGGCACTCGTGAGACCACACCTTGAGTACTGCATCCAGTATAATATTTCCTATACTGGGAAACCCCATAAGTATAGTGCTAAGTACCTAGTATTGACATAGTATAGCAAGTCCAGGGGAGCCACTAAGACAGTTAAGGCAGCTGGAGCAGATGAGCTACAAGGAGGGACTGAGACTACTGTGAGTGTTCAGCGATGGCAAAAGAGGCATCTTAGTGCTGCCTACAACTACCTAATGGGCAGGCGTAGAGAAGACAGAGACAGACTCTGTTTGGACTTGCATCACAGAAGGACAAAATACTTCTTACACGAGGACAGTCAAATACCAGAATACTGCCCCTGAGAGTTTATGGGAACTCCTTTCTTGGAAGATATTCAAAACTTGACCAGAAGGCCAGAGTAACCTGCTGCAAATGGACCTGAGCAGGAGGTTGGATTAGATGATCTCTGACTCCAGTCATGATCCTATACTCATGAGTTACAGATTAATTCAAGACCCAAAGTCTTGAGGCATTACTCTTTTTGCAGCAGCTATGAAAATAGAGAGGTATGAATAAGCTGAAGAGAGATCCAAAATGAAGCAAGGACTTCCTCTGTTTGCTTCTATTCTCACTACCCAACATCACTCTTCTATGCTACATTTAACAGTTTCATTTAAATCAAATTAACATAAGTGATTCACAATGGCACTTCCTTGAAGAAGCTTATTCTTATATACAGTTACCATAGGAGACACAGGTTGTGAAACAGGTAACTCAAAAACATGAATGTCTGTAACTCAAAAAAACCCTTAATATTTCTAGAAATGAAACTAATACTTTCCATGACAATTTTTTTTTAAATGTTAGACTTTTGCTCATTTGTACTCAGCTGTCATCAGTGAACGTAAAAATAAACCAGAAGTGTGAATGTGAGAACAAAAAAGCTCCTGTTGCCTTACTAACTTTTTGGTGACACAAGCAATAGCTAGCTACACTTATCAAGCATAAATGGATAAAATTTTAAAATTAAAAAGAGAAGTATCACAACAACCTAATAAAAATATTTTTCATGAAAAAGAGTTGCATTTCTAAATTTGTTTGGTGAACAGAATACTGACTGCTGTATCTAACAATATTGAGACACATCCTCTTAAGCATAGAGACTACACCACACTGAACTATAATTTGGAGTCCAACCAGGAGTTGGACATGGCTTCAGTGAAATACAGCATCTCAGAGCTGTTAGCTCACGTGACAGCCACAGCTACCATGGCTTATTTGCCTGTCAAGGTTTCAGTTCCATTATAAAGCTCAGTTATTTCCCATTCATCTTCCATAGCTCCTTTTGTGTCCACTTATGCTTAAGACTTTCCAGAGCAGCTTAAGGAGGAAACAACTCCCCGTCAAGATATTTAACCAGTTCTCTTCCTTCTTCCCTTCCCTATGCAGTGGGTTTATGTGGAATAATTAAGTCCAGGTAAAGTGAATGATGGCACTCTGGGTTGCAGGACATGAACCTCAAAGGACAGAAAACAGTTTGTGAAATGCCTCTCTATGACTAGGGGGCTTAAAGATACATTCTTCTGATAAATTACAGAAGAAAATTTGAGCAAATGAATAGTTCATATTACCCAAACTGCTAACACACAATAAGAGTACAACTAATTCAGTCTTTATGACTTGCATTACTCTCTGTATCAAAGTGGGAGAAAGCAAAGATGACAAAATAACTTTCATGTCATAATTGTTAAATACAGCTTTATCAGAGCCCTTCATTAGCATGGGTCACTGGAAAAACACATTGAAATTCCACTCATAAAATTCAAATTCTATCTGCCTCATCATTAAAGAAAAGGAAAAAAGACAATGACCAGGTCATAAACCTTGAAGAATCCTTACATTAAAGCAGTATACAGAAAAATGAGAATATTATGTCAAGAGGACTTCAGTCTGCCAATTATTTTCTGTGGGAATACTCAAAAGGTGCTGTGATTGTGACAGAGATCTCAATCAATCAATCACTCACAATATATTCTTAGCACAATTTTTTTTTCTCCTGGTACAACCCATTAAATTTCCTTACCCCAGTCTGTTCCATCTCCTGAACTTCTCGATTCCCCATCACCTTCATCTGAGGTAACCAAAAAGTCAAACTCTTTCAAAGCTTCTTCTGTATCTCTGTCTTCACTGCTGTCAGATAGCACTCTTTTCCTTACAATCTGAAAGGTCAGGAAGGAGAGAAAAAAGTTGAATTAAGTTACATACACATCTTTATACCAAGCAGTACTCTCTTGTCTTCTATGCAAAATACTAACAGGAAGTTGAAGAAGCAGAAAAGTATACATCAATAAGCAAATCTGGAATAAGCATACAGACTGTTCAAATTTCTAATTCAAAATCAAATTTGTCTGTAGATCACTTGATAATAAATCTACAGAGACCGAGACCAATACTACCAGAAAAGTACAAACTTTCTCTTAATTAAGAAAACCATGCAAAGCCCACAAAGACCCCAGAATGCTGTAGAAAGGACTTCAGCAAAACCAAATTCACTCTGAAAACAGCCTTTTAACTCTCACCTCTGAAATCACTCTACATGTGGACCAAAAGACAAGTCTAGAAAACAAAAAAACTCACAACTGACAAGAACGAATTTGCTTAGATTTGGGAAAAAAATCATTCCATCCTGAATACTTCCTCAGATATTACTGTTATTGAAACATGGTACTTCCATGTTTAAACTGCATCTCCCTTTCAAATACAAACGCAAATTTGGTTAAAAAAAAAAAAAAAAAAAAAATTTACCAGATTTTGGTAAAAGAAAAAATACATGTTTTAAAGAAGGACCTCATTGTATGCTTTCTGCAATATATTTACTTTTTCCTCAATAATCAAAAGGGACTAGATGCTTTACAGTTATTTGACTAACAGCTGAGCTGATGCCATGGTACATGAAGTCTGTAGCATAAATTTTATTTCCACAGAAAAAGAAAGATTACATTCATTACAATATTTTGACTTAGAACCTTGCTAAGGGTCAGTCTGAAAAGACTTCAATACATAGGCCAACATCCCATCGTTCATGAAGATGAATAACTGTTTCCCCTAAATACAATGAACCAATTTCAAAACCTGAAGCAATTCTAAACTTCAAGCTTCATTCCTTCAGCAGACTTATTGAACATACTGTATTACAGATGATTTTACAGAAAAGTCTCAGACATTAGTTCACAGCCCAGGGATGACAGGAACAAGTTTACAAAGACCCTCTTTAAAAACTCTTTAAAACTGATGGCTTTTTAAGTGTTCATTCTTAAAACTGATCATAGAAACAATCACATCCATCGTAACACTTATCTGCTTCAACTGTTGGGAAATACAACTCATTGAATAAATATTAATTTTGAAAAGAAGAGGATAAAATTGAGTACTGATTGTATGTATCTATTTTATGTGATCATATGACCAAGTCATACAGAAAAGTATAGATAATGAGTTTCATGTATTTGACTGAACAAACAAAAGTGTTTATTAACCACATGTTAGAGTTTTTCCAGTTATAGTTTTTCTTCCTTCCACAAGCTATTTAAAAATAAATGCAGTATTTCAGTTCTGTACCCTACAAGGATAAATTCTAAGATTCTAACAAGTCATTCTAAATATCAACACATTTATATAAATATTCAACAAACAATGCATTTTTGACATGCAACATTACAAACAATACCTTCAAACTAAGCCAAAAATTGTAAAAAAAAAAAAAAAAAAAAAAGAGGACATCTGCTACCTTAAAAATTGTATCCAATATGTATCAAAAATACTAGGCAGTATGGAATAGTGAAGACAATTCAAAAAAATTTTAATCTGTCACTGAAAAATTAAAGCAATAAAAATGGCAAAGCTTAACTTGTATGCACAAACTCAGAAATGCATATATAATTCCTCTTATGCACACATGCTTGAACAGACCATCATAAAGATGCATTAAGGATTTGCACGTGTACATACACAGTCATATACTTTGCATACAGGCATCTCATTAATCTCACTTTTTCTGTTCTTCGTAACTTTTTCAATTATTTTTTCCACTCACTGTTGCAGTATCAATGATTGTTTTCTCTCTTCCTTCAATATCTTCTTCATCATCTTCATCACTAAAGTCTGCAGCTGCATTTTCAAGAAACTTGAAGGTCTCTAGCAGAGAGGCAGAGTCAGTCAACTCAGGTTTCCTAAACAACAACAACCACCATAATGAGTCAAAAGAAATCATAATAAAGTCACTTTTGTAATTGCCAGTCTGTTCTGCATTATGATGTCCAACAACACACGAGACTAAAATAAGCCTACAGGTAAAAATGGACTATTACAGGTAAAAATGTTTGTGGATTAAAAAAAATAAACATTATCCATAAACTATCTTATTAGAACCAACAATTATTCTTCATCCAGCTGCAATTACCAGAACAGACACTTCAATTTTTTTACTTGAAAAGCATTTTAAAGCAATATGCATCTGATATGCAACATCAATATCAATATACCATCACTAACAGCCTCAGCCACAAGGACATGAGTTACAGCTACTAAGTTGGGCTCCCGCATGCACGTCAGGGTACAGGAAAACTTTGCTGCTGCTATCTGACATTCCTCACCTTGCTGAGAAACATCAAACTCTAGATCTATCATTCATTAACTTTTGAGACATGGTAAATATGCCACTATAAAACAATATAATGGGCAAATATAATTGATGACTAAATAATCTTTACATAGACATTAACATTAAACTAATAAGGAAACAGATGAAGACTGGGTAAAATTATGACTGCACTGGCACAAATCCAGGCAGTGCCTCAGAACAGGAAGCATAAGGGTTGTCATATTAACAACTGAACAGGAAGAATCCAAGCAGGACTGTAACCATTATTAAAACTCTGATGAAAGTACAATTAAAGCAATCCTAAAATTAACAAAAGGTACCATGTTTCCTATGCAGAAGATGCACTTCTCCATCAATCCCTCAAAGATTAAGTGGTGAAAAAAATTATTCAGTTTGAATTGTAATGATTACTTCCAGTAAAACCTTGTACATTCTTTATAAGACTTTACAGCAGTAAAGACAAGCTTTATTGTTTTCTTACCTTTAATCAGTAGTCTGTTTTTCATAGTTCATCACTAAATGCACATCATCTGGATTTTCACAACCACTGAAACAATAGAAGTCTCTCTCTCTTTTTTCAGAATTGTAGCTCCAAATTGTCTTGTACAGTCACCCTTACTACCAGCAAGTGCCTTGCTAAATGCTACATTTTGCTTCTGCCACGACCCGTTTCAAAAGTTTCAATCAACTAACAAGCCTATATAGTAAGGGCTTTTAAACTCTCTGCAGTGTAAACACCTGATTACAGGTGGGTCCAGTACCCACTTATTCCAGTGTTTCTTCATAACACTTTTGAAAAGTTTATTACAGGAAACATCCAAGGGCAAAAGCTCTGATGTGTAATAAGACGTGATAAGCAGCACACTTCCTTCTTTATGCAGCCTCTGCTCAAGCAGTTCTATGCTTACACAACAACAATTAGCAGGAGTGGGTTCTTCATAGCCCCAATATGTCTGCATCTCCTTAAGACAATTTGCTATTCTACCCATTTTTCATTTCCTCATCCTTACAGCCAAAAAATACCAATAAAGATTTTGCTCGCCATTAGAAATTCCACATACACAGCATCATAATATACCATGATGTACCGTATGTTTTCATGGTCACTGGTTTTACTGAGAATATTCCTTCTACTTTCCCATATCTTCTCTTAGATAAGAACAATCTCAAACACGCTTCCAATTTGCCTTGCTTCCTGCAGTATTTTGACCCTCTCGTTTCTATGACAAACATGAAAGCACTCTAGTATTTTCCTTTTTCCTTAAGTAATCACTACTTTGGCAGACTGTAATACCTCACGAAGCTGTAGTAATAATGTGCATTTTCACAGAAATCCTACAGTATTGTTATTTTGCTGTTTCCAACACAGAAATCTTGATAAGACAAAATTTGTGATGTGCTTCATTTGACTAACTTCTTGACTTCAGCAAATTTTGTGTGTCCTGGTCAACTTTTAGTGGACTAAATCATCGAACCACAACTGTATTTCTGTTTTTTCCTCTGTATTTTGCTGTGTAAAAATCTGCCATGTAAAAACATCATGGCTGCCAATCTATACTGCCAACTATCAGACATGCTACAGTAAATAGCAATGCATGAACTAATACCAAACATAGACTAGAAAATTTTAATCAACAGAACTTGTTATTAAGAGACAGATATCCTTCTACAGGGACAAGTATTTGCAGTAATTCATACATAGATTTGGTTCTGTACTCATTTGATCTTAAATCAGGTGCGCTCACACTGAAGTTCAAAGTGACCACCAAAAGAGAAGGTTGTACCTTTTTTAAGTAGCTGGTCTGAATTCAACTATCATATTAATTACCACATACTTCAGTGGGCAGGATATATACATAATTATATATCTCCATTTACACAGGGGGGTAAAAAGGCATTTTATTATGTATTTCAAAACCCCTGCACAGTACAAAAACATACAAAGTCAGCATAGTACCACAGATTATTTGTGCTAAGGCACAACTTCCAAGAAAGAATTCATAAGAACCAAAAAAACCCCAAACCCAGAAGTGACACAATATTTAAACTATTTTAAAGGTTCTACAGGGAAAAGAAGCTTCAAGCTGACAGACAGGTTGATGGCTATATTGTACACCAATACACTGTTGCAGTCAAATCAAAAGTAACTCAAAAATTTAGCTATTTTTTATTTAGCTAGTTTTCATCCTTTAGCAGCACATAAACATAATGCATTTTAGATATTACTGTCAGCATGAATACCTAGGGATACTATAAAATATATTTAAGAAAATGCCTAGCCTTAGCTAATTTATGTTATGTACTTTGATGGCAGTTTGAAGCTTGTTTGTTTCATTATTTTCCATCTGTTTAGTTTGTTTCTCTTACAGGTTCATTCACAAAGCAACATAAAAAAGCAGAAGTGGCAAAAGTATATTCAGAAATAGGGTAGTATAATAAATTACTTTAAATTCCATTTTAGAAAAAGAAACACAACTCAACATTTCCAGGGCTTTCGTAGTCTAGAATACTTTTTGAAAAATTAATAGATGAAAAGAATAGAATGGAGGTCCAAAGGGGGACTGATACATGGAACAGCAGTATTACAGGCATGAGTGAGGCAAGACTATGGCAAGGTTCAGGACCTGTTGCAAATGAAGAGAGACTAAAAAAACCTCAAAAGGCCTCAAAAAGGACAATTCCTCTTTACTGGACTGTCCTGGATCAAAATGCATGTAAGGGAGAACATAATTTTCAAAGTGCAAGAACGTAGGTATTGTTTTTAGCTTCTTCCCCAGCCATACTGTCTAAAGAAAAACTGCTGGGGAAGAACAAGCCAGAAACCCCAGACAGCAAGAACAGCTACAGAAGCTGCCAAAGCAGAGAGCGTGGAGCAACCAGATTTTGGCAGGACTTCCTTGACCCTGTGCTCCTCAGCTGCTTGTTCTGAATCTCCTTCCCACTGCTCCTTCCTCAATCGTACTCTGCAACAGCACCCTTGCATGGTTTTCTCCCCAGCACCTAACCTTGCCTTCTTTCCTTGAGGGTTTCATCCCAGTTGACTTACCACTTCCTAACCAAACCTAAAAGAAAAAAAAAAAATCATTTAACCAATATAACATCTTCTATCAGATCACGTTAACTCTGTGCATTACATCTTCCTCTCCAGTAGCCTTATCCAATTATGCAGGAAAGTCTTTGGGGCAGAGAGACTACCTGCTACTCGTGACTGTACATGATTAAGTACAACAGAACTGCTTGTCACAAGCATAACAAGTACAATAAGTAGTGCCAGAAGTAAAGTATAGCTACACTAATGCTGCTGGGTTTTCCATCTTACTACTAATGGATGGGCAGTGTGCAAACTTTGTGAATGTTACTCTTGATGCAGGGAACTTCTGATCACTTTTTCCTGCTTAAAACACAAAATTCTTGTTACAAATGGGCTGGTAACTGAAGTATTTACCTCCCTTAAAGCAACATAAACCTGAAATCACATTCTGAAAGCCAGAATTTTCTGCAGCTGCCCTGAAAATCTCATCTCAACTTGTATTTTACAGGTTGTTCAATTATTCAGATTTGTCTTAACCCCTTGGCTCCTTTAAGACTAGAAATAATAATCATCTCTTCCCATGAAATCTAACGTGACTTGTGGATATTCCACATGTACTATTTAAAACAAGCCTGGCTCTCACTGTGCCTCAGTGGGCCATACAGCCAACTCTTCATTTTCTGCCATACAGTCACATAGCTCAAGACAACTATTTTTGTGTAAAATGCCAGTTGGCCCTGACATTGAAATATTAGCAGCTTTACAAAATGTATAGTGTTGAATTGGCTCTCAACATTTAATATTCAGGATCTTAACACAAATCCTGTTTCTTACTCAGTGAAAAGCAGAAACTGTAACCTATAGGAAAGGTGGAGTTGTTATATGGAAACTAAAACAGCACATTTATGATAGCTTTCCTGCCCCCAACATGATCCAGAGCGTTTCACATTGCAAAGTCAAGTTTAACTTAGACTAAAGCCACATTACAGACATGTATTTTCTTTGTAACCAACACATTCAATATTTCTATCATTACCTTCTCCTTTGTTGATAATAACTCTTGGGAGCCTGTGGTCATGTCCAGGGAGACTCTCATAAACTTCTCCCATGAACTGCCCAACCACAGGGCCATCAACTGTCTTGGTCCTGCTCACTCACCCAAAGGAAAAAGTACAGGGCTCTTTTGTTTGTTTTATCCAAGACATACACAAGTTATCGTAAATAAAACCAGGCTTTATTGATAAATTCAGAAGCAGGAAGAAATACCACAGTAAAGTTAAATAAACACAAGTTCAGCTTAGGCTGAGAACTGTTTCTGGGGGCCTGTACAGGAAAAAGCCTGTTGTGACCCAGTATTCAAAGACCTATTCTAGCATACTCTTCCTTGAGCCATTTTCTTTGGCTCCGTTTCCTACTACTACCAAAATGTGCTACTGCAAGGTCATAAGTTTTATTAATTCCCCATAGAATTTAGTTATTTCATGTTTTAACACAGTCTTTTCAATGTGGCTAGTTGTTCTTTCAAACTGGACACAGTA